TCACTCCCCTAGGGCTGGAGCTGGTGAAACTGGCCAGATCTCCCATGTGAGATGAAAGAACCCCACTGCTTGAAGCATTGCCACTGCTTCCCATGATATACTTTAGCAGGAAATTGGAGTTAGGAGTAAAATATAGGTATTGAACCTAGCAGATATGATATATTTTAAAATGATATCATTTGATATTAAAGTGACGCTATAGAGGCTGAAATTCTGTAATAAAAGCTCATCTAATATCCAGCTTTGGTGTTGGTTGTATTGAATTAAATGAAGAGGCTTAAGTTCTTTGTATTAATCTTAATATTTATTAGATTCAAATTTACTTCTAGATAGTTTATACAAAGGGGACAAAGAGCCCACTTTATGTACTGACTTTTCAGGAGCATTAAGTGAGAGCCTTATGATCTTCTTACTCCTGTTGACTCCTTTGCCTTGGTTCTTAAAGATGACAACTAAGCAGATAGAGGAGGGAAACTCACAAAATATTAATATTAGCCAAAGTGACGTATATGAAATGATTGGGGCTATATTTTTAAAGGATTAGTTATTTGAAAGGAGTAGTTCGGGAGAGAGAAGGAGAGACAGAGAGATCTTTCATCTGGTTCACCTTCCAGTTGGCCGCTGTGGCCAAGGCTGGGCTAGGCTGAAGGCAGGATCCAGGAGTTTCCTACAGGTCTCCTGCATGGGTGTCATTTTCCACTTGGGTCGTTCTCCACAGCTTTCCTAAGTGCATTAGCAGGGAGCTGGATTGGAAGTGGAATAGCTGGGACTTGAACCAGTGCCCATAAAGGATGCTGGTGTTACAGGTGGCGACTTAACCTGCTCCACAATGCCAGCTTCTATCAGGATTATATCGAAAAATGAATTCTTTAAGTATTTTCAGAAATCAAATGAATGAGTACTGTTGCTTTGTATAAAGTGACTGTAGAGTAAACCAGGTATGGGGCTTGTGTTCATGGGAGCTCAGTCATGAAACATCCTAACGACTTTGTAAGGGAGTGTGAGTGATTAAAGATGTTCTTTGAAGACTGTTGTTATAGAGTGCTGTCACTAGGTACAGATTGCCAGCAGTCAGTTATGCTTTTGTATTCAGTTTTGATTTTCCATGAGGTGCTGAAGCGCCACTGGCGTCTCCGGGACGACGCGCTGTGTCCTGCTGTCAGAGGGCGTGTTCCCAAGTGGATGCCATCTCTGTGGCTTCAGTGCTGCCCTCCAAATGGCCTCCTCTTTATTGTGGCATGTGAGACTATTGCATAACAATACTATATTTGGATTAAAACCATTTCTGAATAACTGTATTTTGCCTGCCCATGCAAATACAGTTCAGATTTCAAATTGTTAGCCTTCTTTTTCTTCAGTGAAATCATTGGAACCTCGGGGGGTGAGGATGCCTGGAGAGGAGTCTGGGACCTTTGAAGTGGGTGCTTGTCCTTTTCCACATCTCTCAGAGTTAGTGACCATCCTCTCGGGCCCCTTCCTAAATGATGGGGTTTTTGTCCCTGAATTCAAATATCAGAATATGTGTAAAGCAGCACTTGACTCTGAAACGGCCCTTGGCACTCAGCATCGCTCCATGGCCTGACTGCGTTCTGGTAGGGTGAGAAACACTGGTCTTGTCATTTTGACCTTCTGTATAGTTTCAGCCCTTCTCACTGCTATATAGGCCTTTTAAAAGAAAAAGATTATTTTTAAAAATGAAGCAGAGTTCTGACTTACTCCCCAGATGCCCAGAGTGGCAAGGATGTGGCCAGGTGGAGCCAGGAGCGTGCAGCGTCACAGTGGCATCCTTGGGCTGGGCGGGAGTCTGCCCCTGCAGATCTTGGTGAGAATTAGCCAAGCCCTGATGAGCTCTATCAAGAAGACATTTTGTTTTACATTTTAACCACTACCTGAGACTCCTATATATTTGTAGGGGGCCATGTATTGTTTCAACACATGTGTGCGGTGTGCAATGTCTAATTAAGGGTGAATGTGCCGGTCTCCTCAAACCCCTGTCATTTCTTTATGATGAGAATCGTCTTCCCAGCTTATCACAAAACAGTATCCAGAATATGACAGGCCTGTGGAGGAGAGCACAGAACTCCCTGGGGCTTCTTGGTGTGTCCCACCTCCCCCATCCCCAAGAAAATATTCCTCATTTGAATTTTGAAGTAGTTTGACCTTCTGACCAATTTTTCATACAGAAAAACATTTCTCGCTTATTTGACTGAAGTAATTTTTATCACAATTGATTCTGTAAATTTTATTCTGAAGAAGCATATCCTTCTGTGTTGTGTCATAGAAGAGAGACCTGCAGTGCTACAGCCTAGCAGCACTAAACTGTACTGTTTTCTAGAAATACAATATTAGTCATGTTTCGTTTAAAATTTTTTTTAAAGATTTATTTTTATTATTTTTTTATTGGAAAGGAGGATATACAGAGAGGAGAGACAGAGAGGAAGATCTTCCGTCCGATGATTCACTCCCCAAGTGAGCACCAATGGCCGATGCTATGCCGATCCGAAGCCAGGAGCCTCTTCCAAATCTCCCACGCGGGTACAGGGTCCCAAAGCTTTTTGGGCCGTGCTCGACTGCTTTCCCGGGCCACAGGCAGTGAGCTGGAAGGGAAGCGGGGCTGCCGGGATTAGAACCGGCGCCCATATGGGATCCCGGGCGTGCAAGGCAAGGACCTTAACCACTGCGCCACCGCACCGGGCCCCATTTTAAATTTTTAGTGACTACATTTAAAAAAAAAGGAACATAGAGGCAGGTAAAATTAACTTTGATGCATCTTAAATAATCCAAGTATATCCAGATTGTAATTTTGACATGTTATCAGTGTAGCAGTTGTTAACTTTAGAGGAAAGTGGGGAGTAGAAGGGAGCGCTCCTTGAGAGGGAGGGCTGAGCAGTGGAGTTTGGCTCCTGTGTCTCTGTCACTTTTCTGCAGCTGTGCGCAGGGAGGGAGGGCGGAGGAGACCTTGCCCTGCCTCACTCTGGCTTGAGAGACACTTCAAGCCAGCCACCAGAGAGAGAGGCTTCCTCACTGGCCATGCTTCCCCTGAACACTCAAGAGATCTGTTTATGTTCAGGATGGACTCATGGTTCTAGCAGAGCTCCAGTTGGGGCCATGTGCCCATAGTGGGTAAACACACACACATCCAGAATTTACCTCGGCTGCTCCTCCTTTTCTCTCTCTGATCCTTCTCCATGTGCTTTTCTGTATTCAAGTTTAAATTCCTTACAGGAAAGACAGAAAAGTTTTAGTAGATTTTCCAAACACAAACTGGCTTAATGATTATGGCCACCAACTTTATTTTGGTAAATAGCCTGATTAGCCTATCATATGAATGTCATATTACATTCTTCTAAATGACAATTTAGAGATTTTTGTGATTTAGAAAAGCTACAAACTATTGCTAACAGTTATGTTAGATATTTCATATTTGCTTTTAATCCTGTAAATCAGCATTTGGGTGTTGTACAGAAGGGCTGCCCCGGACGTAACGGCGTAACGGCAGTGCAAAGCAGGCCAACCTGGCCTGCTCCAGAAGACTTGGAGGAAACTGAGACGTGAGGAATGAATAGGAGTTAGCAGCCAAAACTGCTGCAAAAGAGCTTTCCCAGCAACAGGAAAATTCTTACAGTGGGGCTTGAGTCCAGGAATGTACCATACTTTTATGGTCAATTGATTTTTTTTTTTTACAGTAGAGTCAAAAACTTAGTTTTGTCTCCAAATGTCGCAGGAACAATTGAATAACTCATGCAAAAAAAATTATCCCCCTGATTCATACCAGGTACAAAATTTAATTCAAAATGAATTGTAGACCTGACTTTGAGAGTTACAACTCTTTCTTGGAACATAGGAGTGAATCGTTCAGCTGTTGGGTTAGGTAATAGCATCTTAAGATGCAGAAAGCACAAATAGTGAAAGAAAAACTACATCGGAAGACTTCATCAAAATGAGTTTGAAACTGGAAAGAGTACTGTCAAGAATGTGACCTGCCAGTCCATGGGAAAAGGCTTTTCCAACTTGCATATCTGAGGAGGGAACTAGGGAACTGTGGCATCACGCAGAGCAGGCTATAGACCAAGGTCGAAGTCCGGTGACTTCCGATGCGAGTGTTGCTGGGTCTGAAAGGCAGTGTTCTGCTGGCCTAGCAGTCTCCACTTCCTTCTGAGTAAAAGCTGATGACATGCGTGAAGTCAGTAAGCGTCTCCTTGAGCTCTGACTGTCCCCAGCTCAGGGAACAGGGTAAGCGCCATGCACACACGCCTCAGAGTCCTGCGGCCCAGGAACCCGTGGCACTGGGGCACAGCACAGTGTGGGCAATGCAGGACCAAAGAATCTCCGGCCATAATTCCAAACTCTTCAGCTGCCGTGACTCACATTGTGGCTATTCTTCCAAGGTTTTACAACTCTTGCTTACTTTTTTAAGCTAAGAATATTGACATAGATGACACATTCTTCTAAGCCACCCATGAGCTGTCACTTGATCAGTGATGTTGAATTGTGTTTCACTGTTCCTTGGGAATATGGTGCCGTGTCAGCTGTGTCTTGAGCCGTGGTCTGTGCTCTGTTCGATTCCCTTAGCTTACCAAAAACAGACTCTAGCCAGGAAAACAGAAAAAGGAAAGCCTGAAACTGTTGATTTTCCATTTGCTCTGGTTAAAGAAGAGTGCTTCTGGAATGTTTCCCGCGGGGAAGTCATGCTGAAAAGCCTCTCTCTGCTGTTTGTTTCGAAAGAAGATGAAAACCTCTTTTGCTTTTTGGATGTTCTGTTAAAGAATCAGTTATTTATAGGGGTTAAACAATGAACTAATGCATACCCTAGCTTCTAGGTAATTTCTGTATCAGCCATGTTCCCTGAGTTAAAGGGAAGACGAGACTAATAGAATGTTCCTGTTAGGATAAGTGCTTTTTTTAAGTCATTTAGTAAAAAATGGTGGAGCTTTCATCATATATTTACCAGATTATTTTAACCAATTAATGGCTGTCTTTATTCACTTCTTTTAATACAGATCAGGTTCAACAAGAAATGTTGGATGATGTACAAAAGAAATTGATGAATGTGTTAAACAGCACGGACGGAAAAGTGGATAAGTATGCTTTGCCTTTTACTCTTCACTCTGAGTATTTACATGTGACTGCATTTTAAAGGCCTTTTCTTTGAAGAGTGACCTGTTTATTTGAAAGGCAGAATGGCAGAAAGAGAAGGGGAGATCTTCCATCTGTTGGTTGGTTCCCCAGATGCCCACACCAGGGCAGGGCCAGGCCACATTCAGGAGCTGAGACTCCATCTGTGCCACACGCACAGGTTACAGCTGACTGTTGGCAAGCTGTCACTTGACTCAGACTGGCAGTCTGTTCTGGGGTGGAGGGCATCCTAAGCACCAGCCCAACCCAGTGCCCCACGGTGCCCACCCCAAGGAACCTTTTTCTTACAGAGTGATGAGATGGAAGACCTTCCTCTCTGTCTCTCCTTCTCTTTGTGTATCTGCCTTTCCAATCAAAAAAATAATAAATCTTTAAATATATTTTAAGTTTACTGTTTAAATATTTAATTGTGGGCCTGGTGCAATGGCTCAGTTAGCTAATCCTCACCTTGCCAAGCACTGGGATCCCATCTGGACAGCAATTCATGTCAGCTGCTGCACTTTCAATCCAGCTCCAGGCTGTGGCCTGAGAAAGCTGTACAGGACGGCCCAAAACCTTGAGACCCTGCACCTGCATGGGGGACCTGGAAGAAGCTCCTGGCTCCTGGCTTCTGATCAGCTTAACTCCAGCTACTGGCGCCACCTAGGGAGTAAACCAACAGATGGAAAATCTTTTTCTGTCTCTCCTCCTCTGTGTAAATCTGCCTTTCAAATAAAGATAAATGTTTAGTTGTTTGAGTATAACTCAGTGTTCCTCTTTTCTCATGTGTGCACTCAAGGCTGAGTTAGCCTGAGATGTTCCCATCTTGTTTGTTGCAGAGTATTGATGAGAAACCTCTTCATTGGACATTTTCACACCCCGAAAAGTCGGCGGCCTGAAGTGCTGCGTTTGATGGGGAGCATTCTGGGCGTGGAGAGAGAGGAGATGGATGAGGTGAGGTGACTGGGCAGCCCTGGCCCTTCTCAGCACCATTTTCTTTCACTGTGGATGGTTTTTATCAAATACGATTTTCTTGTTCATGTGGAAATGGGGTCATTTCATACTGTGTTGGACAAGTGGAGTTTTCTGGTTTTGAGTTTCTATGATGTTAGTGTTAACTGTTCTGTAGCTTAAAAGCCACTTGTGGTGTGAGGATGCTGAGATTTTGAAATGTGACAGTCCCACACCTGTACTGTGACGCTTGGGGAGGGGATGGTATTTGTAGCCTTTATCGGTAGGAGACAGTTGGTAGGAATGGGGTGGGCAGAGCATGGTTTGCTACTATCTGAAATCTTGTAGGAGCGGTTCTTTTCTTGCACTGATCATAGTTTTCTGTTTTAAAATAATCTTCCAGTTGTTTAAAGAAGACCAAGGCGGCGTTACAAGATGGATGAGCGGGTGGCTCGGAGGAGGATCAAAAAGTGTCCCCAACACACCTCTAAGACCGAACCAGCAGTCTGTTCTAAACAACGTAAGACATGCTTCTGGTTTTTCAGACTAATTTATAGAACCCTTTTATTTTGGAGTTTTGGAAACTGACCCAAAGAAGTATTAGCTGACAGACGACAAGATGGGTATCAATCATTTAGTTGCATGTAGGTTGTCTCTGCATGTTTGTATATAGTACTTCCATTTTTCAGAGTGTTAACCAGGTCTTTGTTTTTGATCATGCTAACTACTGGCAGTCTTGCTAATAAACTGGGACATTTTTATAGAGACTTTCTTTCATTCATGTGTGTATTCCAAGTCACTTAGCCAATCGGTGACCCTTAACTGAGTGCCGGCTGTGTACCAGAATGTTCTCAGTGTTGGGCACACAGCTGCAGACCACACAGACAAGGTGGCTGCCGTTTACAGTCGGCAGAAGAAAGCATTTGGTGAACATGAAAACACAGTGCCGGTGCTCCAGGAGGCTTTAGATAAATAGTCACTGCATTGAGTAGATTCAGTTGTTTGCTTTTATGTTAATAAGGAGGATGCTGAAAATAGATGACTTACCCAGAGGTAGTTAAAAGATAAGACTTGGATGATATAAAACTTAAAGATAAAATCTCTAGTATGTTATTTTAATCTAATAATGGTATTGGTGATCTTGGTGTATTTATTGATTTGATCTTACTTCAGGAAATTATCTGTGATGTTTGTGTCTATTGATTTTTCGTTTTTTGCAAATAGTTATTTAAATGGTTAAGACTTCATGTCATAAGTACTAGTGAGGGTAAGGAATCTGAGTGTCTGTCTTCAGGAGGCTAATTCTGACTGGCAGCTGTTGGGAGTGCGTTGACCAGCTGATTGGGATCTTGTTAATGGCAGTTTCAACCAGAGTGCCAACATTTTCTGTTACTCATAAAGCTGATTTATAAAAGAAGCAAACAGCATGAGTAGTTTTTAGTTTGTAATGAAATGAGTTAGTGTATTCTCTTAGTTGTGTAGAATACAGTTTTCACATCCTAATACAGCCAAAATATTTTTCTTTAGTCTTTTTCAGAACTTTTTGTCAAATTTTTAGAAACTGAATCACACCCATCCGTTCCACCACCAAAACTTTCTGTTGATGAGATGAAACCTCTAGGTTCCCTGGGAACAAGACCGGGCACAGGTGTGCCAGAAACTCTTAAAGGTAAACTAAGTTACTTTTCTACAATTTTAAAAATGGAAATGTTTAGTTCACAATTATTCTTTGCATTGATGTTTATTTCTCCTAAAATCCTAACAAGATACCAGATTTGGCTTCCATGTATTTTTGTAGTAATTAGCTTAGATTAATTTAAATTCTGTGAAGTATTTTCCCTTTTCATGAAGAATAGCACTTCTCCCTTTACAGAAGCCACTTTGAATTTCTGTTGAGGAAGTGGTGGTGAACTGGTTAAACCTGTGCTTGGTCACTTGCGTGCCTTCCTCCTGATCAACAGCTCAAGCTCATAGTTTGAGGCAACTTATTTCTCCCTCAGAAAATCCTGAGTGTTCCCCTCAGTAACTAAGCCTTGACCTGCAAGTAGGCTGCGTAGACGCACAGCTCAGTCTGTCGGCTGCGGCCTCCGAGGACGCCGTGTGGAAGCCTGCCCAGCTGAAAGGTCTGCGTGTGCGTGTTGTTGGACCACACCGCACCGGGCGGGTCTTGGTCATATTCATTTCCCCAAAAACCATGCAGTAACATTGCTGGAGTTGAAATTAAATGATAATCCATCAGACTGAAACTGATCCTTTACTAGAAAGTCTTTTCTGAAATTCTCATGGTTTTTTAAAAGATTTATTTATTTATTTAAAAAATGGAATTACAGAAAAAGAAAAGAGTGTACACTTGCATTCCTCTGGGGCTGGGTCAGGCTGGAGCCAGGAGCCAGGCGCTCCATCTGGGTCTCCTACAGGGATATTAGGGGTCCATGCACTTAGGTCATCCTCTCTTGTTCTCCCGGGCACATTAGCAGGGATCTGGGTTGGAAGTGGAGCAGCCGGGAATTGACCCAGTGCTCATATAAGATGCCAGCCTCGCAAGAGAGGGCTTAACCTGCTCCAGTACAGTGCTGGCCCCTAAAGCCACATATTCAATAAGATGCTTGTTAGTGGAACTTTGTATATGTTGTATACTTTGTATTACTTTCACATGGCAAATACTTAAATTTGGATAAAATAGTAAAGAATCATATTCTGATAATTTCAAAATTCCTTCAATACTTCTAAACATTGACAGAGGATACAGTGATAAATTTTATCTGGCATTGGGATAAAAAAAAATTGGGCTGCTAAATTTAGTGAAAATTCCTAGCTTTTTTTGATGTGTTACTATCCTGAAAGCAGTTGTTTGGTGTTGCACTAGATTCTGTGGCGTCTCGAAGCAGATTGTCAAGTTCACTATGGCAAGGTCTGTCCGCCTTCGCTCGCTTCATCTCCCTTCCTCCCTGGCTCCTTTCTTTTGTCCTCTGCTGCCTGGCTTGATTGACAGTGATCAGCCCTAGCCAGAGGTAGTCTGAGCTGAGGCCGGTTTTGCAAGAGGAAAAACTAGTTCAGTGTCTCAGCCTGGAGTGGGAAGTCACACCGAAGCTTTTCCAGACTTGGGAAAGTTGCACAGCAAGGTGCAGCTTGGGAGCCCCCGGGCTGAAGGAGTAGGTACGATGACTTGGCCCCGGTGCTGCTTTTGCTGTTGGAGGCCTCTGCTGTTTGAATTTCCCATTGCCCAGGTGGACATCTCCAAAGAGAGGCTTGTCTCCTGGCATTGAAGCTCTTGGTGGTCTGGGGAGATAGAGCAGAATGTGCCCTGGCAGACATTAGGTCATAAGCAAAACCTTTTCCAGTAAAAACTGGTTGTGCAGGCTAACTTCACAGAGAACTCAGGTAGCCAAGAACTCAAATAGAAGGATGCCAGATACATAACAGTACTATAAGCGAACATTCCCTATATATATATTTTGTTGTTGTTAAGCTAATATTAGTACTAATTGTTATTACCACTGTAATACCGTTGACTGGTTTAGGCGTGGTTCAACCCTGGCCATTGCAGCCGTCTTGGGAATGAAACAGTAGATGGAAGATCTCTCTCTCTCTCTCTCTCTCTCTCTCTCTCTCTCTCTCTCTCTCTCTGTAAAGCTTTCAAATAAATAGGTGAATGTTAAAAAAGAAAAAAAAAATGTTAAAGCCCAATGAAGGTGGAGTAAGCTGTAATGCATGATAATTTACATGTATGTGTTCATGTATGCTTCTCTGTGCAAACGAATCAACTTCACAATAACTTGTATAAAGAGAGTTGTTTCACTTCAGTGTCTTTGTAAAGAGAGGTCAAATTATCCCTCTTTTATCATTTAGATTCAGCAAATTCCAGGTCTGGTAGAAGTGACGTGAATCCGTTTTTGGCCACCCGTTCGGATGCTGTGCCCCTTATTAGCCCTGCTGGACTCGGCCTGGGCAGACCCGAGCACCTTCTCCTTAAGCCACTTTCGGACGTGTTGCCCACATTTACGCCGATGCCAGTGTCACCAGACGACAGCGCTGGAGCTGTGTTAAAAAATCTGTTAGAGCAGTAGAGCTCTCTGTAAACCGAAAGGAGCGCCTGCATACCTTCTGTTTGTGTTTGTTCTTTTTGTTTGTGTTTTTTTCTGTTTTGTTCATTCTTTTTTTGTTCTTTGTTTTTGGGGGTTTTTCCTTTTTGTTTTAGTTTTTTGTTTTTAGGGTTTTTTTGTTTAATTTTTTCTTCTTACTCTTTTTTGTTTCAGTTTTTTTCTTTTTTGTTTTGTTTTTCCTTTGTTCTTTTTTGTTTTTTAGTTTTTGTTTTATTTTTTGCTTGGTCTTTGTTTCTTTTTTTGTTCTTTATTTTTTGGTTTTTTCTTTTCTTTTTGTTGTAGCTTTTTGTTTTTTTAGTTTTTTTAAGTTTTTTTTTTCTTATTTTTTTGTTTGTTTTTTTCTTTTGTATGTGTTTTAGTTTTTTTCTTTTCTTTAGGCTTTTTCTTACTTTTTGTTTTACTTTTTTGATTTAGCTTTTTTCTTTCATTTTAGTTTTTTGTCTTTTAGGTTTTTTTCTTATTTTTTGTTTTACTTTTTCTTTTTTGTTTTTTAGTTTTTTTGTTATTTTCTTATTTTTTGTTTTAGTTTTTTCTCCTTTCATTTGTGTTTTTTTAGTTTTTTTCTTTGTTGCTTGTTCTTTTTGTTTGGGGGAGTTTTGTTTTTTTGGTTTTTTTTTTTGCTCTTTGTTTTCTTTTTTGTTTGTTTGTTTACCACATAGCACTTTGAAGAAGGCTTTCTAACACTATGTGATGTCTGTTGTCACCAAGTGCCCTTTAAGAGGTTTATTATTTAGAGCTGTCCAACTCCAGGTACAATAAAAACGTCCAAATGCTATTATTAAATTACAGGGGTCTGAAGAACAATTGTTCTTTTACTTCTCTAATTGGACCTAATTTAAGCTAGAAATATTTTATCATGTTTTATGTTAATTTACAAACATTTTAAAAAGACAAAATGCTGGTAGCTGTGTATCAGCTTTTTATTTCCTTTCTCTCAAGCTGGTTGAAGCAAGAGAAATGTGATGTACCTGTTGCAGCTCAGAGAGACATTAATAGCAGCAGTGGCTTCTGTGCACAGTGTGGGCACAGAGCGGAGGCACTGTGAGTAACAGGCTTGCAGCTCGGCTGTCTGGGGAGGTTCCGCTGCCCGGGAGGGAGCGTACACTTGGTTCTGTGCATTTAAAAAGACCAGTACCTGGCTCCAGCTGTGAATGCGTCCATTGCAGCCTCCCTGTGCTGGCTGTTGGTGATCAGCACAAGCCCTCAGCTTGGTCCCCCCGAGCCCCTGACAGCCACTAAGTGTTCTCAGCAGGTTTCACCCAGCAAACTCCCCTGGTGCGGCTGCACCACTTCTTGTGAATGACTCTGGTTTCTGTCCAAAGCCACATGTCTCCTCACACAGCAAGGCAGAGCTTTCAGCCCAGCATTGGGCTGTGCAGCCACACGCGTGCACCTGCAGTGAGCAGTGGCATTGAATGCCTCCTGCCTCTGCCTGAGATGCTGCTACCAAGGGAGGGGGAGGAGCCAGGAGGGTCCCTCCCAGTCAGGGGCTTCCTGAGGATGACCCATCACCACGCCAGGTGTTCAGAACTTAAAGAGTAAGAATATATTTAAATTTTACATGAGCCAGATATAAGAAAATCCTGACTTGAAATTTAATTGTATCAAGATGTTCATATTTGTGTTGGTTGTTGAGGTTGTGCATTTAAAAAGACACTTCTTGCATATGTTGTGAATTTCAGTATGCCTTTAAAATAGCAACATTTTGTAAGCAAGGAAAGGTGAAAATAGGACTAAATGTGTAAACAGCCTGGCTGTGACCGACTCAGTGCGGCTGGCTGTACACTTTGCCATGGCTAACAGGATATTTCTCATGTACTGACATTGGCTAAAACCTCCGTCAGCCATCGCTGCATAGCCTTGTGGGGAAGCTGACATGCAGATCCTGGGTCGGAACTGTTGACTGCCCCTTGGCTCACATGGGGTGATATGCTTTGAAACCCGCCGCATGGAAGGCACTGTGGATCACCGCGGCAGGTGACACACCGGGCCTCCTGGATGTTCCGGCTCCGCAGCACGGTGCACTGCCGAGGGTGGCGCTGCCTCGTCACGACCGCATCATAGCACGTCACGCTGCGAGAGAACTTGGGCTGCAGACCGCCAGCCTCGGGCAGGAGCCAAGTTTAGGCTGAATCATGTGGCTTTCGCAGTATCGAAAGTTGAAGAATCAGAAGTGAAACCCTTGTGGGGTGGGGACTGAGTGTCACTCTCTGAGTTCTATATGCTCCTTACAAAGGTGCCCCGCTGACTGTCCGGAATTATTTGCTGCTCACCACTGAAGTTTTATTTCAGCGTGGAGCAACGGAAATACTAGATTATAAGTTAAAAAAATGTTCATTTTGAGAACATGCAGAAAGTTTTTTATTTTGTAAAGGAAGCACACGGTGGATATGTCATCATATTTGAAATGTATATTGTCATATTTGAAATGCCTTTTATGACATTCTGAATATTCCTTCCCTGGTCAGAACAGCCTGTCTCCCCCCGACCCCACCCCACCCCACCCCACCCCACCCTAGCACCAACCCCGGAGCTTCACGTCAGTTTGGAAGCTGTTGCAGATGGATTGCATAGCCACATATCACAGAGTATGCTGTTACAAAGCCTCGATTGAAATCAGTATCTCCCAAATAATGTCCTGAACTCTAGGACCCACATACTTTCTCTGTCACTGAAGCTGGAGCCGAGTGACCCGCATACCAGACAGAACTCATGGTTTTCTGGAGCTGAGTCGTGTCAGAGATGAGCCATCTGCTCGAGGAATCTTTCCTGCCTAGGTGGCAAGGAAGCCTAGAGGTCCGCTCGCAGCCTCAGCCAGCCCAGCAGTGCCCTGGTGTGGTGCTGCGGCCACAGTCATGGTGGAGTTCACTCCGAGTGAGCGGAATCGGGTTGGATTCTGCCTGAGCCGCCAGCTGTTCACAACATTCCTCATGATTGTCAGCTCTAGTTAGTTGACCTGTGCTGTAGCACAATTTTCATAGGCATTGGGTTTTGATTTCCTTGGTATAATAGCTTATCTTTTGGTGGTTTGAGTTTAGTTCCTGCCATTCTTGATTTAAAATATAAATTTCAATTTTAAAAGGCACAACAAAACCATAGGAAAAAGGGAATGGCTTTTTTTTTTGCACGAATCACTTAAAGCATTAACTATCCCTGCCCCCAATCCCCAAATGGAGGCTGCAGCCTTCTCCTCAGCCTGCTGCCCGCAAGGACCAGGGCTGGGGGAGAATGTCCCAGGGCAGTGCAGCACCGGGTCCCTCAAGCTACTGAAGCTGTTCATGTGGCAAGGTATTGAAAACATCTCCCATCAATGGAAACTTAATTTTGTAAATTCCAAATGAGTTGTGATATTTATTTTGTATATTCCTATGGAAAAAAATATTAATACTTATAATGCTCTGGTATTTGCAATTATTTGTCAGTCTTTATTTTTTAACCTATTAAGATTTTTCTATTGAAAAATTATACGTTTTTGGAGCTGCCATTGTGGCACTGCAGGTGAAGCTGCTGCCTGTGGTGCTGGCATCCCATGTTGGTGTTGCATTTTGGCTGCTCCATTTCCAGGCCCGCTCCCTAGGTAAAGCAGCAGCAGATGGCCCAAGTGCTTGGTCCCCGGGGCGCCCGTGTGGGAGACTGAGACAAACTCCTGGCTTTAGCTCGGTCTGGCCTTCTGGGGGTGGAAAATTCTTTCTGCAACTGTGACTATCAAATACATAAAAATAAATCTTAAATAGAAATTGTAAATTTTCTGTTGGTTTTTAGGGAAATCTCTAGATATGGAGAAATTCCAAAGCAATCTTTTAACATTAGGTTGTGTTTTACAGAGCTAAAGCCAGCGCATCTTTAGTTTCTCAGGAGCATTGTAAGGCCAAACAAAGGAAGGTGGTCTATGTAGGTCGGCAGTGTCTGTTCACTACATGTATACATATATATATAATTTATTTATTTTTATTACAAAGAGATATACAGAGGAGGAGAGACAGGAAGATCTTCCGTCCAATGATTCACTCTCCAACTGACCACAACAACCAGTGCTGCACCGATCCGAAGCCAGGAGCCAGGAACCTCCTTCAGGTCTCCCACATGGGTGCAGGGTCCCAAGGTTTTGGGCCGTCCTCCACTGCTTTCCCAGGCCACAGGCGGGGAGCTGGATGGGAAGTGGAGCCACCGGGATTAGAACCGGCACCCATATGGGATCATGGCAGGTTCAAGGCGAGGATTTTACCAGCTAGGCCATGCACTGGGTCCTAAATATATATATTTTTTCCTAACAGCTGCAGATTTTTCTTTGGAAGGGGGAAGATGACTTGCACATGTTGTTTACAGCAGTGGTTGATGAACTACTGAAGCTAACGTCTTCAAGGACTCACTGGATGCTTGGAAATTTTAAACATGAGCAGTTTAAAAGGTATTCCGGGGATAGGCGTCTGGCCTGGCAGTTAGTGCACTGGGTGACACGCCCACACGCCACACCAGAGTACCTGGGTTCAGTACCCAGCTTCCACACATGACTGCAGCTTCCTGCTAGTACAGACCTACTAGCTGTTGGGTCCCTGCTGTCTGTGGGAGAGCAGGCCTGGCCCAGCATCAGCCACTGGGACCATTCGGGAAATGGGTTACAGAGTGGGAGCGCGCTTGCACTCCTGTGTTTAGATGGTTAAGCAGAAACTTAGTGTATATATGCATACATATTACTTATACACTGGACGCTGTGCGGGAGAGCTGAAGGCTTTGCAGCAACCACCTTTCTTCCTTCAGAGGCATGCTGTGCATCAGCAGGCGTCCTTATCTCGATGTGGAGCCTGCCTAGTCTTTGCCGTTTAGCCGGTGGCAGCATTAGTAGGAACATAGGCCGTAATAATAGCCACACCGGAGTGTCAGGCATCTGACTCCTGTGCAGCTTTTCAAAGTCACCTTGACTCTGGGCCCCATTTTTTCTCAACTCTGAAAAATCATAGCCACCTCAGTGATCTCACGGGGTTGTAAGAGCCAGAGGACACGTGCACGAGATGAATGAAAGTTGAATGAGATGAGTGGGAACGTTGGCTGGAGCCCGCAGGTCCAGACAGGTGGCGGG